GGATGATCACACTATACAAACTACTGATACTCCTGGGTTCAAACCATTTACTATGTTCATCTTGATAAATAGAGAGTAGCTTGTTCAAGGCTCTCGGTCAGTGGGAACGATCGAAAAAGTGGGCGCAGGACAAGCGGGGTCTTTGCTTGTCCCACGCCCGCTTTTTTTATCGTCCCCAGAGAGGAGTATATGAATCCCCCTTTCCCCCTCCCCCCCAAAACAAAATCACCAACACACAGGTGTAGGAATTAGCACTTTTGTTGAGTGTCTCACCGAACAGTGAAACACAGGTGACTGGTACTGATTAGCCTATGACTTTAAACTGGGACCAGACCACAAGTAGGAAGTCCTTAACATCTTGATTTACATTGGGTACATTTAATGGAAGGAGCAAATTGAATGAACCGTTTGGTGTTTGGTCAACGAAAAATATTGATGGAATATTTAACAGTGTAGGTAATTACCTGCTGTGATTATCACCTTGGAAGCTGTGAACAAATTCTTGGCAGTCTTAATTGTAACTAGAGATCCTGGATGGACTTCAACAGCACCCTCACCATCCTTCAGTGTACCACCAAACTCAACAAATTGTTGCTGTAGATTAACCAGTTAACAAGAACTAAAATTAATACTCTATTTCTTAATTAATAGATGTAACACAGTAAAGGGTGTCTGGAAAACCCAAATAGCAAATAGCAAATAGTTGCGAATAGTGAATAGTGGATAGCGAATAGTCCCGAATAGTGCGAATAGTCTCGAATAGTGCGAATAGCGGCGAACAGCGATGAATAGTCCTCAATAGTCACTGCTTTAGATCTAATATCCTGCGTTAATGGATTATCCAAATAAGCAGCAGAATTTCAGTGAATTTATTACCTTTTCTTCTCTGGACTCAGGCTAGGGCTGTCTATCGCCAACATTAAGAAAACAGAAAACACAAGGATAACCTAGTAAAGACATATATACGCTTTTGCAGCGGTTAAAACAGAAGAAATTACGTTTAGCAAAACTTTTTGTCTTGATAAGCGTCGGTACTTTTTTTGCGGGAAAATCCCATCCTACGTTGCTGCGAGGTTGACCACGAGATACTGGGTACCCTATTTGCTACAATTTGCCACTATTCGCCACTATTCGACACTATGCGAGACTATTCACACTACTCATACTATTCGTACTATTTGCTATTCACTATTCGGGACTATTCACTGTTCACTATTTGCGACTATTCGCTATTTGCTATTCAGGTTTTCCAGACACCCCAAAGTAAATAGATTCTCTTAATTCTCAAAAGTGATTTATCTACTATCTTATTACATGTACTCCTTACAGCAT